TATAAGAGAAGCTGAAGTCTATAAAAGCAAATATAGGTACAGTGCTCGGAGGTAAGTTAGTAATAAATAACGTCGAGGGGGCGAAGACTATTGTGGAAACAGAGACAGCAGCTAACTTCCATCAAAGGAACGGCTAACAGAGTGAACGCAAACGCGGCAAGGTACACACACACGCAGAGCTGCAAAGGGTCCTCAACATACACCCATGCAATCAAAACTTGGGCTGGGTACTGTGCATGTGTGTATATATAAGTCTAGAAATAAATACAAAGTCGCAATAGAAATCAAGCCAAACCAGTAGGTGATTTAAAAAAAAGACGACGAGGAAGCCGATACAGAAGGGAGAGGGCGGGAGGTTGGAATGGGCTCGACAAGCAATGAAAGATACACGTGAATATCACCCAGCCATGAACTTCGTTCCTTCTGTAGGTGGGGTACGAAGAGGGGGTGGGTAGAGTGGGAATTAGTACGCTTTGTAGCAGTTAGTTTTGACAGCTGTAGACATTAAGGCATCTAGTTAGGCATAATAGGAGTGAAGAGATGGAAGGGGGGGCGGGGAGAAACACAAATTCAGCGAGCATAACTGACACCTGCGATATTCCAACAAATGATCAGCGATATGTTCACCAGCCTAAGATAATACAGGAGTGTCTATATCGCGGCACGATTACCAGGTCAGAAACCAGCTTGGCGGCAGGTGTGGGATGGTGGCGTGTATACGCTTGCCTTGGAGTGCTCGCAGGTGTGTGAGTCATACCAGACTATCTGTTGGCTTGGTGCATAATGATGTCCATTTCGTGTGTCGACTGCTTTTGCGAAGGGTCCACATTGTTCTCCGCGTCAGCATATTCGAGCGATGCACTTTGGCGCTGTTTGAAGGCGATCGCGCTCAGGCTTTTGCGCTGATCCCGATCGTAGCGAGAGTCTAGACCCATGCGGAAAGCGTTGACAACTTTAAGCTGAAATACACAAAACAGGAGGAGAAAGTGAGGACAAGTTAGTTAGCGAGATCAAGGTATTAAGAAAACAAGAATTGGAGAGAGGTTACGCGGAGAGATTACAAGTGAACGCAAGTGAAAGTGCTGGGAACGAAAGGTAGGGCGGTTAGTGTGAGCCGGCGACAAGGAAGCAATTAGGAAAAACGGAGTCTCATCTAATATAGCACGATGGCAAGTCTCTACAAGAACTGCAACTACTTAGAGACCTCGGGCAAACATTGAAACGGCCAGGTTATGTGAAGGGAGCGAACAATCAGAATATCCTTGTCAGACAAAGAACAGCCAACTAAAATGCTCCTGTAGATGTCTTCCCGAAATTATACTTCAATAGAACTGGAAGGCCTAGTCTTCAAGTGAAGATTGGAAAAGGCATTGCAAATACCAGAGGTTTGAGGCAAAGAACTATGAGCCAAATCGGTAGAGGGTTCTAAACTAAAACGGTAGGTAAGTCATACGTACCACCAAAGGAGTGTACAGCGCCAAATGTATCCCACTCGCATAAAAGACTTTATTTTCCCTAATTGAGCGATATACAAACTTTCATGTAAGAGAGAGGTCTGCAATATAGTAAGTTAACATTTTGTTACCTGGCATGGGGTTCCCTGATTACATGGAGTGTTCAAATAAACGCATAAGCGAAATGAAGAACTTAAAGATGATAACGCAGCAGAGTTACTGTGACTTTGCACATATTGGGCTGTCCGGCTACTGGAAACAGCTGTTGAGGTGTGAAAACTCGGCCAACTAATCTATTTCGGTAAGGTAAGGCTGATGAGTCGACCACTTTGGACAGAGGCCTGATTAACTAGACAGGTCACGTTGAGGAAGGCGGATGGAGGCAGGCGTATTTGGAATGCAAATGTAAAAGTGCCCTATAGTAAACAGTATAGCAATAACAGCTCAGCCCAACCTTCCCAGTAGAAGAAGACTGGAATGACAGTGGGTAAGGAGGAGCTATTTAGAGACCAGCCATACTGTGTATTTGAGGTGGAGTGCCAACTGGAGTTCAAATGAGCGTCGATAGCGTTGGACAAATAAGGCAACGGAAAGGAACTTGCATGCAACAAAGAGCGTGCGAGAGATGAGAGAGAGAGAGAGAAAACAGACGCGTAAAAGCGGACGAGAAGATAACAATGCATGGAAAATGACATGTGCACCTCAGCCGGCCCCACTTTCTTGCAAGACAAAAAAAGAGAAACACGGATACTGCTGGGTGCAGACAAGGAAATAATTGAGCCCCGACACAACAATGGGGGATGAA